GCCATTTTCTGCTGATCAAACGAAACCCACGCATACGAAGCGCAGATTTAATGACTGTTGCAGAATACGGACAACTTAATTTGTTTCAGGTGGTGATATTTCACGTGGAGCGCCACCCAAACGTCACGTGGTACGAGCAATGCGTCGCGTTCAACATGTTCCCCACGAAGTTACACGAACTCACGTATCGTGTCCTCGGCATGGTCATGATGTACGGGTTGCCACTGGCCGTCATCATCATCTCTTACGCGTGCATCATCGCTGAGATATTCCGGCGCTACCAACTGTCCCCGGACGGTACGTCGCATTTAGTGTTGACAATAACAGTGTCGTTTGCCTCGTTTTTGCGTGTTATACAAGCTCTGGCTTGACCCGAGAGACGCCTTGAGGGCTCGTCCGTCCGTCTGTCTTCCGCAACAGTAGGACCTGGTGACGCCTCAGTGCGGTCTGCATTTAACACACCATTCTCAAATAGGTAACCATATTCAAGTTCACGTGGTATCACAGGCCACAAGATCATTATGAAGGGCATGTTTACAGCCGCGAGGAACTTAGATCTCAATCGGTAACAGTCGATAAAGAGTCGTCGAATTTATGTTGCAGACAGCTTCCGACGGTCGAGCCTCGTGTTCCTGAACAGGGCCAGGAACAGGACCTTGAAGATGGCGATCATAATTTTCGTGGTGTTCTTCATCTGCTGGACACCTTATTACGTCATGTGCCTGTGGTAAGTCGCTGGTCACTGTGTACCACTTATTTTTCTGCCGAGTGTATGTATTGCTTTATCAGCAGCACGATTCTAAACGGTATTACGCCATGCGTTGGAACCTCCGTACGTCTGATCGACAACTCTTGGCACATACCAGCCCGACGTTACGTAGCGCACAGTGTTTTCCGTAAGAACAAACTATGTACTTTGACATTTTGCTCACAGTGTGTTATGCATTGAATTTGGATTACGCATTATACAGGGTGTTTAAAAATGATTCAGACAGTTACAGTTGGCTGTAAAAATTCACCACTGCAGTTACAACAATCAAATTACTTGGTGCATGTAGAGAAACACTTCAAGTTTCTTGCTATTGGAACCGGAGTCACAGAAACTGCAGTCTAGGTAGCTTTGCCTCCGTTCCAGGTACTGGATTGATGAGGCATCTGCTGAGACAGTGGACCAACGGGTGCAGAAGGGCCTCTTCCTCTTTGCCTGTACCAACTCATGCATGAACCCCATCGTGTATGGCTACTTTAACTTTCGGTCGGGGCGAGGCAGTGGGTACGCGGCCCCCGGAGGGCGAACAGGTCAGCAGGTGAGGTACATATACAGCACCACCACCACCAAGAACCGCCACAACAGCCTAGCAGGTTTGCACTGGCATTGGTGTCGTGGACTTCCTATTCCTGCCATATGTTATCGTCTCCAGCATGCTCTGCCTTCTGAGATTTCAGGTTTTCAGGTTATTGCACTGTGTAGTCTCGCATAAACTGACTGACATTTGATGTATAAAGTGAAGCTTTCGCGGCAACTGAAGTTGATGAAAGACTACTAGACTACACAGCGCAACATCCCAGAAGAAAGCCATCTTCCCGCTGTACTTTGTCCTACCCTCCACCTTCTACACTCCTTCCTCTCTTAGTATTCTACCTCCTTTATTTCTTCATTGATGCTTTACTTTTCTATCCTACTCCACAACTTCCTCTTGCACATTTCCTCTTTCATCAGCTTGTTGTTTACTTACGATAAGTGATCCCGAACAAACTACAAAAAAACTTGAGAGAATATGCCCTGGAAAAAAGAATTGTGGGAAAAATTCACAATGCTTGCTGCATTGATGGTGAATATTCACATTCCATAACAACTGGCAATCTGATGACTAGTTGCTAAAGAAAGAGACTACACCACAGAGTTAGGTTTGGTTAGGTTAGGTTAGGTTAGGCTAGGTTAGGTTAGGTTAGGTTTGGTTTAATTTATGTTGAACTGAATAATAAAACACTGCAATGAAGTGCAAATAATTTCCTTATAGATTTATTCTCTTACTGGTTTTCGTCCTCCACAGGCTCTGATGTTCTTTTATTGCAAATAAATCTACTGTTTCAAAAAACCAATCACACTGCACAGCCAGACATAATTAATGCTGTTATTTCATTAAATACTCATAATATGGATAAATATCTCTAATACAAGTGGCAGATATTCTCATTAAACTAATTTTTTGTGTAATTTGTCAATTTCAGGAACTGCCTTTGAGAAAATCTTTGAAATGTGATTTGAATTTTAGGTTTAGTAGGGTTTAATATTAATATTGCAACAACTCAATAAATATGAATGTCAATTACTATTGCTAGTGTAAACCCACAATGCCAAATTTAATCAAAAGCAATTGAGTTGTTTCAGATACGAAACACGCAGACTGAAAGAACCTGTACAAAACAACCCAGAACAAGCGTTTCCAAATTCTAATATAAAATGCCTGTAACAGTTGCAGCATCAGAACATCGTTGCACTGAGCGCAAGCACAACAGGTGCAAACAGCAGGCGGGGGAGCAACTCCAGCAGCATCTGTCGGAACAACAGCAACCAGAACATGTGGAAGAACAGTCACCGGCCAGCCCACATGCCTCGCATAAACAGCAAGGAAACGGATCATCCTGCCACCCAGACAACCTCAAGCAACATGACAGACAAGCCGAAGACCCAGCAAACAACAAACAACAAAGAGGAGGAGCATGAACAGCCGCGTCCCACCTCAGAAACTAACAACTGCAGCTCCAGGACTTCGCCGACTGTCGAACGTGCAAACGACACTACTTTGACGACTGTTGTCTGCAGATGATTTGAAATATGTGTAAACAGCTTGAGATACTGATAATATTTTCTCCCCGCTCCATGAACATTAAGTGGAGGCATATTCCCCATATCTGGGAAAATGAAGTTCCTGCTACATTACTTGCTCTTATATTTATTATAGATGATAAGACAAGAACAATGCAGTTCACTCTATTCTAATATTTTAGGATCAGCGGAGTACATCTGGAACGAGCAAGCAAACAAAACACGACCTTCAATTGACTACAATCACGGAACAGTTGACATATTTGTAGGTTATATACTGAGCTATTTCAAATGCATTGAATGACAAAAGCAAGATGTTTGGTTATAATGGCAAAGAGACAGGTTCTGCCATTGCTGGGAATAAAAGACAGGACATCCAATACAAAGCCAGTCACCTTGACTGAGATACCGTAGCTCGTGGGTTTCAAGAGTCGAGAGAATATTCGACCTTCATCATCCCACTTCTGACATCAATGTAACGTGGGGTCGGTTTAGCGACCCTGATTTATTCACGACAAATTAAATCAGTTACAGAGGTCTGCGCATACAGTCAACTCTCCACAACAACAACACACTTCGTGTCTCTGTTCTCTGCACGAACATTGCTTATCGCTTGCCACCAATGTCCGCAACAGCATATCGCTTGCAACTCACTTCTACATCCTGACTCTCCTCAACACTCTCTCCAACACTCATTAAACAGACACAACAATTATAAACGAATACAACAATTCCAAAAGCAACAATGTCTATAAATAGACACAACAATGTCGAATACAACAATGTCTATAAAGGAATACAACAATGCCAAACCCAATAATCTTAATAAACAGACAACAATGCCAGACGCGACAATGTCAATAAACAGACAACTAAACTGTTTATTGACATTGTTATGCTGCTCTCACGCCAAAACATCACAATATGGTAATGGGGAAACAGCCACTATAATACAGGGTTGAACTGACTGGACTTTGATCCCAGGTTTAGTGTTACGCTAACATAATACGCAGCCAGGCGTGGTTAGCTGGATCGTGCGTAAACTGCAGCGTATGAATGATATAGATCAGCTAATGAATTCTGAAACTGTGGAACACAGATTGTTTTCAGGTGTTCCATTTGATTATGCTGAATCCTTAAAATGTCCTGATTAAAAAGAAATTGTTATATTTAGACATTCTGTATTCTGGGAAACAGTACAAGGTTTAATAAATCTTGTGTAGTCAAATTTCCTGTCTTGAAAAGTTTGATTCAATTTTGTTCAATTCTACTATCCATTTTATTAAAGTTTTAAAGTATAAGAAGTTGATATGTTTCTGTGGTATAGGTCTTATATTATACGAGAACAAAAATAACTATTTCAGTGTTAATTGTTTGTATAAAATGTTGACAAACAAGTCTAGTCTAGGTCTAGGAATACCAATGATATTTGGAAAGACTTGTAAGAGAGCGATACAGGCACCAAAAATTGCTTAATGTTCTTTCTTTAAATACTGATATCTGTTTACTATTTCCTGTTCGCTAGGCTACAGAAATGCACTTGCAGATGGCGACAAAAACATTTTTAGCCTCAGCCCAAATCTATTACAAGTGAAGTCAACAAATTATGTTCTGGTTGAGATTTGAAGATCTCAAGGTGGCACGTGTGACGATAGTTGTCTTCTGTGATGTTTCACCATCTAGTCTGGTAGATACTGACATTTGAGAGGCACTTACTGCCTCCATTAAAAGGGCAATGAGTAAGCAGTGTACGGGGGCAGTATCCCAAAAGACACTTATCCTCAAAACTGTTTTGCCCCTGCTACTGAAATCGAGACATTGTATAAAAATGTTATACAATTTACCAAAATAAATATATTTGTACAAATCATAATGTGAGGTTAGAGGCAAGTGAATTTTGTTAAGTACCTGTCAGTTTAGTTTCTTTCTGGATCATTGTTTATTGCAGTGATGTGTTACTTATGTTATTGTTAGCAACTCAACCAATATATTTTCTCTGTGGAATGAACCCTTCATTTTTATGAACACAGAGTTCCGCTCTATGAAAGAGCATGTCGTGTTATGGGTGGATTTTGTTGTTGTCGTCGTTGAAAAATATAAAAATTGTTCTAACATCAATTTATGGTTTTGAGATATTCAACTACAAAGGAAAGACACAAACAGTTTTGTTTTGGATTGAGTTTTGAATGGGGGCAATATATTTATGTCTGCAAATATGAAATATAACATTGGTGTATGACAACTGGGTCAAACCTAACCTAAACGATATTTTCCTTCATTAAAACTGAAGACATTCATTATTCTTGTAATGTAAATGTTGTCTGTGAACTTTAGTCTTAAGAGCAGAATTGAAAACGCATCTATGTGTAAAATTTTATCTATTTTTCTATGTAGTATAAATATTATATTGTATATTAATTTTATGTCATCACTGTTGTAAAGCTGTTATTGACAATATTTTATATGATATTTCACCGCTTGCTTCTATTTGCTTTCTGTGATATAATTCCATCACCACATCTTTCATGTGCAACCTGAAACTTTGTGGCATCTAAGAGAAGGGCAGAGAAGTCATTAATAACAGTTCTCTTAACAGGACAGGCAACCTTGAGAACAACTAATGACATTCAAGATGGCAGTGACCCAATGACAAGAAGTATCAGATAACTTCATGGCTACAACATGTTATTCTGAAGATACTTACTATGGAACATTTTTCTTATATTAATCTTTCAAATATAAAGATAACTTTGTCATTTATTTATATACACAACATTTATTCACGTATGACTGTTTTACGCATTTGATGTTCAGTCATAAAACATTAGATCACCCATTGCTCTACTGTAATGTGTAAGAGAAAACTGAAGACTTTTGTTTCCTTACATTTCTTTTACAGGAAAATTCAAGTTTCATTCGTAATGTTGCTTAGTACAGTGTTAATGGATTTCCAAATAAAATCTTAAATTAATGTATAAAAATCTAAAAATTCTTTTCCCTCTCACTGTCTCTCATAGAAATTTCATCCAGGCTGTGAACTTTCTCAGCAAGGAGTTGATGGTAGCCATAACACAGGAGAAAACCAAACTTAACCAGACAGAAACTGAACATATTTAGCCATTATGAAAGTTATGAAGTTATATTCAACCATACAAAACAAAATGGTCACTAGTAGATGAGCTTTCAGATGTGTCACCAGGAAACATCTCACTGTTGTTGTATGTTTGCAATAACTTCCTGTTGTCATCCTTTGTTCTCACTCATATTACTTTCCTGTGATGGTTCCTAGAGGATTTCTGATCCTCTTGACTCATGGCATGAGACCATGAATAATAGCTAATATTTAAGAAGTTTAATGTTCTTCAACTACCCAGTGAATTCTCGCTCTCACTATTATCATTTGTAGTGGATAACATGGAAAAATTTCAAACAAATACAGATATCCGCAACATAAGAACAAGATACAGATACAACCTTCATGTGCTGATATCTAACATCAGTAAATATCAAAAAGGTTTTTACGACACTGGAATTAAGTTACTCAATAATCTTCCACCTACTATAAAAAGTTTAAACCATGCTATAAAAATATTTAAGCCAGCGTTAAAAGAGTATCTCCTATCTTATTCCTACTCAGTAGAAGAATTTATAAATACATGTAAGTAATAATGGTGATGGTTCTCATCATAATTATTTTGTTGTAATACTGTAGTTCCAAAAATCCTTCAATAGCTGTTATAACTATGTATTTATGTTTGTAATAGAAACAAGTAGTGTATTTGTGCTATGACCTGTTCTACATCTTTGGATTAGGCCTATGAAGGATCTATGGAATGTAAATAAATTCTATTCTATTCTAAGGGGACAAATGATCTAATTATAACAAAACATATTCCCATGGAAATGCCACATAAAATTACAAACCTACAATTCAATATAAAATACTTTGTTGATATCATGAAGATTCATTGGTAAAAAAGTGGCTACCAGGATTTTGTATTGACATATCTATTGCCTACATATTCAGTGTTCAGCCTTAAAATAGATAACCAATAAATTATTCAATATTTGACTGTCCAACACTAGTTCTATCTGAGAAGGAACCTTCCTTCTTTGTGGCCTCATGATGGTAACAGATCCAGTTTTTGAAATGTATAAGTTTAAAAATAATTATGACAATGGATAATAATAATAATAATAAATAATTATGGTTACAACATACCATCATCCAATACATGCCCATTGCAATTCTAGACTGAAGCATAACAACATACATGCATATTCTAATCAAAATTTAAGCGAAGTTGAATAGTAACTAACCCTATTACCGACTGAACTATGTTATCGGCCTCGGGGCAGTTATTTATAGATGAATAATAGATGACAAAAGAATAAACACAGTGCATCGAGTTACTCATCGGCACATCTGCCATCCAAGCTGCAGTTCGCATCGGTCAGCGTTCAACAGATTTTTACGATTTATTCACAGTATGATAGTTTGAAATATGTAGGAAAGTTGGGCTAGTGATGTGGTCCGCAAGTAATTTGACGTGACAAGCTGAGCTAGTTTCGTTTTCTTATATACAACTATGGTATTTGGTATCGAAGCCTCTTTATGTTTGGTATTTCAGGGGGCGTATCCTTATTTTTAGGTTAGGGTTACTTGCGTTGTTTTCTTTACGAGTCGTCAGATACATCTGTACTTTATTGTAAATTTTCCCTAGACTCAAGCATATACAATACAAATGCGTTTCAATAACAGAGAACTTAATCATATTAGTCTGGGTGATGCAGAATTGGAAGGCAGGCTCAATCATCGCCGCCCACCTAGTGGCAATTTCAGCCAAAAAGGTAAATAATATGGACTTAACATTTTAATTTCACATAAATAAATGTCTTCATTGCTAGGGTATTGAAATTTGCAGTTGTTTGGTCAGCACACTTGATCTTTTCATTGCTCTTATCC